TTGGCTCTATCTGAGATAAATTTATTTCAACTACATTTTGAATTAAAACTAGATTTCTCCCACAACTAGCTTCCATACGAATCTCAGGGGGGGAAAAAAGCTTATTGTTTGGCACATCGATTCTAGGGGAGAACATTAATTCCCTAATCGGCAGTGGGCGTGGCCTCCCTGCTCAGGCGTGCGCGATGCATCCCATCCGCGCCTCCCCATGGTCATAGCATAGGTGCCCCTTGACCATAACTCGGTAGCCAAGGAGGCGAGAACAGGGACAGGATTCCTTTGTTGGCTTGCGCGCCTTGCTTCTGTATCAGCCCAAGTGAGCGAAATTCACTCACCTATGGAAGCAAGGAAAAACCTTGCACGCGCAGGCTCTATAATATGTCCCTCTATTCTTTCTAGCTCGGCAAGACAAAACAACGGCCGGCAAATGATCCTAACAACCCTTGGTGTCTCTCTTGGCAGAGATCCATTAGGGTAGTAGGAGACAAGAATATGATCGACCTCAATAATGGTGGCAAGATTTGGACACAGTAAGGCGACCTAGACTGTTGATTGGGGTATGAGAAACTGAGTATAATAAGAATGCCAAGCCGGCGGGGGTGGAGTCGGTGACTTGTGGGAGGGACTCATCTTCCCCTTTGTTCTTCCTCCCTCTCATATTTCTCTCCTCCTCTCTCCTTTCTCCTTCCTCATCTTTATCCATGGCTAGAAAAATTAGGAGGGCCTTAAGGGGGATCTATGGGCAACCTGGGGTAGGGGGCTGTAGCCCCATCTTGGATTCGCCCCTGCAAGGTGGCTATGTCTGAGATAAATATGAGGTCACGAAGAGTGGAAGAAGATGACGACAATGGGTGGTGGGTGACAGGAGGAGTCAGTGTCAAAGCTAAGGAAAAAATAGTCTCGTAGACATAGGCAGAAAACATTGTGGATGTGAGGTCTTAGGCCTATAATTGACTGACCAGAATATTTTAGCTCAATAAGTTGGTGTACACTTACTTCATCATAGAAACAATGTCAGTTTGGCCATTTTAAGACCATATCCATGAGGATCGGTAAATGTGGCTTGAGTAGACGTGTTTTTTTTTTGTTAAAATTAAGGTACTTTTTGGTACATCTCTACTTCACTGGTGGAACAAAATATTTTACTTCAGCTCCACGAGTAACTCACTGGTGGAGCTAAAACTTTTTTGGTGAACATTTTGTAAAACAATTTCATAGTATAGATAGAAATGATGAAATGTCCATAATGTCCTTATATTTTCATCTCCTCCTCTCCTATTTGTCTCCCTTCTTTCCTTCTCTCTTTCTCCCAACACCTCCCTCGTCCATCTCCCGATGGTCGTGCCCGCCTCCCCGGCATTTGCGCTTACGCTGACGTCTCTCTCCGCGCTGCCCAGGGGGTAAATCCGACAATGGCCATACTAGCGTCCACTAGAGCGGGAGGGGCTAGGAAAAGCCGGGTTTTTTTTTGCTCCAAAAAAAACTGTTCAAAAAACATCAGTTTGAAAAAGAAAAAGAAACTCCGAACAGCTTCGGAGACTAGCAAACGGGCTCTAATTAAAGAGATGAGACCTGATGTAATAATAAAGTAAATGGTACAAGATAGCCGCTACAAATGGTTAAGGTGACGACAGGAAGTTTTGAATCAATCAGTAGTGTGTGAAGAAGCCCGGAAATCGGAGAGAATTGAGTTGGACCTGCATCTGCATGCTAGGTGGAGGAAGGTCCGGAGTTTGCGCGCGGCCTCTGCTTGGAAATGGATGGGACTTTCCGTAGTACTCAGGTCCGTGTAGGTCGCTTGCAGTGGAAGCTGGGATTGCTAGGCATTCGTGGTCACCCCCAAGTAGAGGGAATTCTTGCATGCCGGGCGTCCCTCCTTCCTCGATCGAGTACGACATCCTCTCTTCTCCGATCCCGGCGTGGAGCGTCCGTCCGTCGTCCATCTCCCCGGCCGGATCCTTCATCCCTCCAGGTAGCTAGCTAGGCCGGCCAGGTGATCGTCGATTCGATCTCAATCCAATAATCAATCGATCGATAGGATAAGGAGTAACAACAATGGGGGCGGCGGCGGCGGCGGCAACACGCGGGAGCTGGACCAGACGCCGACATGGGCGGTGGCGTCGGTGTGCGGCGTGATCGTGATCATCTCCATCCTGCTGGAGAAGGGTCTCCACCACGTGGGCGAGTTCTTCTCCCACCGCAAGAAGAAGGCCATGGTGGAGGCCCTGGAGAAGGTGAAGGCGGAGCTCATGGTGCTGGGCTTCATCTCCTCCTGCTCGTGTTCGGCCAGAACTACATCATCAAGATCTGCATCAGCAACCACGCCGCCAACACCATGCTCCCCTGCAAGCTCAAGGCCGTCGAGGCCGCCGCCGCCGGCCACGGCAAGGAGCCTGCGGAGGCCGGGGGTAATAAGGGGCACGGCAAGGAGGAGGCCGCCGTCCCTGGCAAGAAGGAGGCCGCCGCCGCCGCCGAGCACCTCGGCGGCGTGCTGGACTGGCCGCCGCCCTACTACGCGCACAACGCGAGGATGCTGGGGGAGGCGAACATGAAGACCAAGTGCCCCGAGGGGAAGGTGTCACTCATCTCCATCAACGGCCTGCACCAGCTGCACATCTTCATCTTCTTCCTCGCCGTCTTCCACGTCTCCTACAGTGCCATCACCATGGCGCTCGGCAGGGCCAAGGTCAATTTTGATTTCTTTGTTTGCATTGGAATGAAGAAGCTAATAAGGATGATATATCTATCTCATATATGATTGCTCGCTCCATGCATCTCTTTAAATTTGAAGCATGCAGATACGTGCATGGAAAGTGTGGGAGAAAGAAGCTGCAGGCCAAGACTACGAGTTCTCCAATGGTACATTACATACTCCTGTATAGTATCTTGGGTTGTTCTGCTGATCGAATTTGTATTTATATTAAACTGTCAACTTACATTTATATATATATATACACGTGCAGACCCGACGCGGTTCAGGTTCACCCACGAGACTTCCTTCGTGAGGAACCATATGAATGTGCTCAACAAGTTCCCAGCATCCTTCTACATTGTAAGATGATTAACATATATACAGTACAGTAACTTTCTGAAACGAAATGAGATGAATTGGTACAGACAGACAGACAGACAGACTGACTGACTGACTGACTGACTGACTGACAATTGTCTTCCGGCAGAGCAACTTCTTCCGGCAGTTCTTCAGATCCGTGAGGCAGGCAGACTACTCCGCGCTGCGCCACAGCTTTGTCAACGTATGTCACCAACTTGTTCATTTATTCAATCATTCAGCTATATATAATGTTATGTACGTGGTGGTTGGTATGCAGGTGCATCTTGCCCCTGGTAGCAAGTTTGATTTCCAGAAGTACATCAAGCGGTCACTGGAGGACGACTTCAAGGTGATCGTGGGGATCAGTCCTCCCCTCTGGGCTTCTGCTCTCATCTTCCTCTTCCTAAATGTCAATGGTGAGCTAGCTGCTCGATCCATCTTCTATCATCCTATCCTAGCATGTTCATGTTGATGCATGCATTATTATATATATAATTTGCTCTGGTTGCTCCACTATAATATAATCCTCCATCCATGCAATGTGCAGGATGGCACACCATGCTCTGGATATCCATCATGCCAGTGGTGATCATCCTGTCCGTGGGGACGAAGCTGCAGGGCATCATCTGCCGCATGGCCATCGACATCACGGAGCGGCACGCCGTGGTCCAGGGCATCCCGCTCGTGCAAGTCAGCGACTCCTACTTCTGGTTCTCGAAACCAACCTTCGTGCTCTTCCTCATCCACTTCACACTCTTCCAGGTCCGTCTGTCTTCCATTGCTCTGCCTTCATTTGCAATGTGCTCAGTCTGTCAGTCAGTCAGTCTCAAGTCTCAACTGAACTAGATTGTCTGTCTGTCCTTGCTCTGCATTCATGCTCTGTCTCTGCAGAATGGCTTCCAGATCATCTACTTCCTCTGGATTCTGGTACGTACCGGGCCATTTCAGTTTATCAACATGCATGTAAATATTGTACACACTTGCTTCAGCTGTGACTGATGATGGAGATGTCTGTTATGCATCTTGGTTCTCTGAATCTGCATGTAGTATGAGTACGGGATGGACTCGTGCTTCAACGACTCCAAAGAATTCGTCTTTGCACGCCTCTGCCTTGGGTACGTATCATGAGAATCTGATCTGAGATGCATGGATGCAGATGAGATGCAGTGGAATGACATATATGCATGCAGGGTGGTTGTCCAGGTGCTGTGCAGCTACGTGACGCTCCCGCTCTACGCGCTCGTCTCCCAGATGGGCTCCACCATGAAGCAGTCCATCTTCGACGAGCAGACCTCCAAGGCCCTCAAGAACTGGCGCGCCGGCGCCAAGAAGAAGCACCCCACCAGCTCCAAGCACGGCGGCGGCGGGGGCTCCCCCACCGCCGGCGGCAGCCCCACCAAGGCCGACGGCGACGCGTAGAGGAACGCTAGCTGGAGACGACGCCGGCAACACGGGGCTGCAGGCTGGCGGCGGCAAGAAAGGCCAGGAAGGCAAGTACGATCGACTTCATCAAGATCGATCGACGAGTGATCCATCCGTCGCCTCCTTATGAAGCTAGCAATGCAACCTTTAGCTCGATCGATCCAGCTTTCTATATATAATACCTTGTTATTACATATATATAATTTATTTGTATGTAACTGTGTACCAGTAGCAATCGACACGCGTACGTGCGCCGCAGGTAATGTACCATGAACTATGCATGTGTACGTACAGTGTATAGGAACGTACCTTAGCAGGATGCAGAATCAATCTCTCTTCATTTTGTTTTTTATAAGAACCACAGTACAGTGTAGCTAGCTATACATGGAAGAATTTACTTTCAGCAAACTTATTTGGTGTCATAAATAAATGTAAATACTCCTGTTCTATAAACCTGACCAAACATAAGATAACTTGTTTGACTTAGAAGAAAACATTGAGTGAGGGAGGTAATACTCCACTCCAGTTAGCCACTTAGTGGTTGCAGGGATGTCGATGTGAGGCTCCCCAGGCAGCTGCGAGAGAGATTCCCACATTCAAATAAATTGAGCTTTTGGATGGAGGACGGCAACATCATTCCACTTTTCCAGTTGAGCCGTGGACAAAACAAAATGGTCAGATCTTTGATGTCAGGGAGATGTTCATGTGTTAGGAGGTCATCAAGAGTTTCCAGCTTGTAGCAGCGTTCGACAGTTAGGTGAGTGAGGAACGGGAACTTCCCAGTGCTGCATCCAAGGTAAAGGTCAGTGGCCACCCCGACTCTAATAGATATCAGACATGGACAGTTACTGATCTTGAGCTCCTGTAGCACTGGAAGGCTCCACTTTTGTAGGTCGATGGATGCCAGATGGTCACATGATAGATGCAAGATGGTGAGGGAACTGCAATTCAGTTCGAGTTTTCTTATGGACAGCGCCAGCAGAAGATGTGTGATGTTTGGACAATTGTACACCTTCAGTTCTTCAAGGTCGATGGCATTGAGTCCATCGGAGCCAGAAAACCAGCTTGGAAGATATTCACCTTGATAACCCTCGATGTGCACAGATTCCACACTGGTTGGAGGTTGTAGTGCTTGAAGCACTTCTATCTCATTGTGCTCTGGAGATATGAATGAAAACCAACTCAGAGTCAAACTAGTAAGATCTTTCCTCTTCCTAAGTTCCACCTTTGCTGCATGATCCTTGCTTATTGCGCCTAGGTTATGTATAACCAAATCTTTTATATCTGGAAAACTGTTTATGAACCCAATTTGCTCTCCCAACTCCTTAGCATCAACTTTCATTTCAAGGATACGTGATTCAAACTTTTGCAGATTGATCAGCTTACTGGCACCTATGTGCAATCTTTCAAATGTGCATTTCCTGGCATACAAAATCTGCAAGTTATAGAGGCTCCAGAATGATGAAGGAACTTCATTGAAACAGCGATTTCTGGAGATTCCAAGGTATCGGAGATGTTTCAGATTGCCTATCCTCTCTGGTAATTGTTTCATTTCAAGGCACAAAATAAAACACGAGGCACCCAAGTTCAACAAACCAGCGATCCATCACAAAAGAAGTCTGACTCCTGAAATACTTGCTGCAAAGCAGGGTGCGCAGCTTTATGTGCTTGCCCAGGCACATTAAGTCAGAACACTTAACACCGCTGCTTGATAGTATCGACAGATGGCGAACATTTGGAGGAACTTTTTCTATCCCACTTGTATTCTTTACAATGAAGCACTCGTCCTTGGATACTAGAAGTGCCATGTCATGCATCAGGTCATGTATCACATATTTACCACGGAGTTTATGGAAGAAGGACAAATTTACAAGGTCTTCAAAGTACTGCTCACCGATATGTTGAAGTGGAATGCTACCTTGAGGTTCCACCAATCCTTCTGCCACCCAAATTTCAGCTAGAATAGCCTTCTTAAAATTGTGATCTTTGGGGTATACAGAATAAAATGAGAAGCATCTCTTCAAATGGAAAGGTAAATACATGTAGCTCAACCAAGAGCTGGCAAAATGTCTGTTTCCTTTTGTTCAATCTGCCATAGTTCGTTGTTTAGTATATCATTCCAATGTGCAGAGGTAAGGCTCTTTCGTAAAAAGCCTTCCAATAGTTTTGGCAGCTAAAGGAGTACCCTTGAGCTTTACAAGTATGCTCTTACCAATCTGCTCTAACTGTGGATCAATGTGAGAATCCTCAGACCCAAACACGCACAGTTTGAAAAAATCTCAAAATACATCTTCTTTCAAGCCTTCCAATACAAAGGACTCCATCGTGCCCACTATATCAGCAACCTTTGCAAACCTAGTGGTCACCAACAACATACTTCCCTTAAGTACTTTTGTGAGAGGTGCACAAAATTTCCTCCAACGCTGCCCATCATTCAAGGCAGCAGGCCAAATGTCATCAAGGATGAGCAGAATCTTTTTTCCCAGCTTCTTCAGCAAGAACTTGTTGAAGATCATCCAAATGTCGGCCGTTGCCTCTTTTCTAGATAGAGATTTTATGAGAACTTTAGTAAACCTCTCCTCATCGAAGTCATCCGAGACACAAATCCAAATGATATTATTGTCAAAGTGGGATTTAACACTTGGAAGTGTAGTAATCTCTTGGGCCAAAGTAGTTTTTCCAACACCCCCGATCCCAACTATTGGCAAAACAGGAACAGATGGTATCCTTATTGGTTCAGTACTATCGGCTGCACTAGAAGCGGTTCTCTTCCGTTTGGAAGTAGACCTGCACCTGCTACTGCTACCATGGTCTGGTGCTGGTACACCAAGCAATCTCATCACCTCCTCCAGTTCCTTGTCTCGACCAAGTATGTTTGGCTCAGTACGGAAAGATGTTGTTGGTGGCCTGACCGATTTGTCAAACCGTGGAGTTGCCTCATGCATGCCCATCTTCTCAAGCTGGGCAGAAAGATGACCTAACCTGGTCTGTATATCAGTCACTTTGTTGAAGCTTCCATGAGTGACACTGTGAAAGAAGTCAATGAGAGGAGACATCTGGGATTCATCGTTATTGCCCTCAATTTCCAGCTTGAGCTTATACCATCTGAACTCATCCAGAAGGTCCTCCGCATCATACACTGCATCCTTGAGTTTTGGAAGGAGCTGTGCCACAGAGGGTACATGGATCCTCCACTCTGCTCGATCAATGAGGTTGTACATTGCCGGTAGAGTATCAGTAAGGCGTTGAAGGTCACTTTGCAACTGCAGTAGATCTTCTTGCTTAAGTTGTTGTTTCTCCTGTGATCCATTCCACTTGGAACGCATATATGAGACAGCAGATGTGACCAACTGGAACAAGTTACCAAACTCATTGATGCCACTAATGACTCCAATAGCCTTGGATAGGCTCATCCTGGCTTGTCCTGGACAAAAATAATATAACGGACGCTTTGAGCATTAGAGAAATCAATAATCCCTAACAATCATTTGGAGAATGTGAAACTTGCAGGTCAATCTTAGCTTACATAGGAGTACAATACGAGGCAGGGACTTACAGGAAGGGAAGTAATTAAGACAGGTTTGGTGATGTCAGATGCACCCAACTGCCAGCGGCTTAATTATGTCATCTGTTTAATTTGCAAGGCAAAAACTGAAGGGGTCACTTGCTACTTGCTAGTATTTGCAAGACAAGACAATTAATCGGACAAATAGAAAATATTAATTACCTAGTATTTTTTTTTTTTTGGTTCGTGTGAAGACAGGCTGGTCAGCTTATACAGGCTGGTTTGTAAGAATTTGCGTCCGACCTCTGACGTAGGAGATTGGCTTTCCTCCACTGCTGGTCCGTTCTGATGCTGCTATGCTAAAATAGCATACTTTGCAGCAACAAGTCATTTGCTTTGCCCGACTACAGGATACTACTTACTAGATGAGACGATGAAGGGATTGATTGGGGCTTACCACTGCAACGGCTGATGAAGATTCTGATAGATCCCTTGCTCGCTCGGATCGGAGCTGCAGCGGCGTCACCTCGGTGAACTCAGCTCTCGCCCCGTCCCAAACGCGCAAGGGAACGAGATGGTCCTCGCCTCGCCTTCCTAGCTATGGCTATGGCTATGGCCGCGGGAGAAAGGGTCCGCCGGCCTTGGCTGCCTAGTCGGATCTGGGACCGCTCCCCCGCCGCCGGTGATGAGCAGCGCCGCGTGGGGGCGGAGGTGCTCGCCGGCGGTCGCCCAGCGCTCGCCGGATCTCGCAGGGAGGGAACGCCGGAGGGAGGGAGGCAGCGCAGGGGAGGGAGCTCGCCGGCCGGGATCCGAGTCGTGCTCGCCGCGTTTCTTCAGGGGAGGGAGGGAGGAGGCCGCGCCGGGGAAGGCCCGCGAGCAGCCGCGGGGCGGGGTCGCCGGGGCTCCCGCGCGGTCGACCGAGGCGGCAGAGGCGGCCGGAGCGTCGGCGCAGGGGCTTGGCGCGTCGGGGTCGCGGGCTCGGTGGCGCGGTGCAGACGGTGGTCGAGGCAAGGACGTCGACGAGCTCGCAGTCGGCAGGCGGGGCCGCAGGGCTCCGGGTCGTCGTCGGTGAAGCGGGATCTGCTCGGCGCTCGGAGGCTCGGCTGCTCGGGGGCTCTCCTTTTTTTGGTCTGCTGTTCGAAACCGGAAGGATTGGGCGCTTGAACCTTTTTTTACTGCGAGACCCAAACGAAGGAAGGCATCTCGTATTTGGGTGAGGGTCCCTGGGACAGTCTAAGGACTTGTTTAGTGTGAATCAAGACAAAGTTATCTGGCTCAGTCATGAATCCCAGACATCCAATTCTTAAAACCTATAAACAGATAATAATAGGGATAAAAACGGACTAACACGTGATGACCAAAGTTTCTTTTATGTGTTATTATTTTTACTACACAAAAATTTTGCGCCCTTTTAAAAACCAGACTAAATCTGCATATGTGATTTTAGAAAAGTAGGTCACTCAATCAAATACACATAAGTAAATGCAAAATGTAAATAATAACTAGCCAAGTCGCTCGCGTAATAAATTGCATAGCTATCGTGATGTTCAAACGTACTACAACTTAAAGCAAGTATAATAACAGCTTGTAGCAGATAAATGCTGGGGTGAAGGGGAGAGGAGACGAGAGAGAGGAGAAATAGGTTGTAAGCTTATAGCTGGCTTAGAGCTTGGACAAAATAATCAATAAACTTTATGAGAGAGATAAGTGAACTATGTATTAACAGTGAAGAGCTAACTGCTATATGGTCAGCCAGAAATCGACTGCATTATTAGCCTTGCTCTTAAAATATATCTTTCACGCATGTTTTCGCTCACATGGCTACTACTGTTGGATATATGACTTTATTAATGTTTTTTATTGAAGTAGGTTCACGGTAAAGCGATTTGCGAGATACGTCTTGCTGTTATATATTTGGCAGGAGCCATGACCTGGATATATGGAGTCGCAGCCTATCGGTCTATTCGTTTGGTCGTGTTTGTTTTATAAGCCAACGAACACTATTTTTCTCTCACACCAAATCAGCTACCATTCAATCATATATCATGCGTATTGAGTGATGTCTTCATTGCCATTTCTTATATGGTGATACTGTTTGATTAAACTTTCCCCCCTAGATGATTATGGCATTGAGCTATGGTATGTCTTTGTTTCCTTCCATTGTGGTCTCATGTCTTTGGGGCCGTTCGCTGGTCTGGAAAGACCAGCCAACCGGTTGCTCCCCCTCACAATTTACTGTTTACCAAACCAGCCGAACAGTGTTTTTCTCTCACAACAAACCAGCCGGAACAGTGTTTTTCAGCCAAGTTTCAGACCAGCGAACGGGGCCTTTGTTTCCTTCCATTGTGGTTTCATCGATGTCGATCATACTATGAGTAAAGAGTTAGTTCAAACCATACCATTACAAATATCATGATTAAAAAAAAACATCATTACAATTCACCTATTTATATATTTACCATTACAAGCGATGCTTGAACCATGCAACTTTCTACATCTTGGATATCTTTGTACCCACATTAAGACGACCATATTATCGTATTGCCCGAAGTGCTCCTTTCTTCTTTCTCTATTTCTTTTCCTACTCACTCTCAAGACTGTAAAAGTATGTGGAACGAGACGACCCTTCCTAGGCTCTCGGCCTCTCGGCTTCGTATTAAATAGAGTAGGGAACAGCCCCCTACGTGGCTTGTACAACAAGATCATGTTTACAACAGACTCTTGATGAGATCTCTATCCTATTTGCATGTACACCGACGCCTCCTCAACAACCTGAGGTCGGCGCCTATACAATGAACCAAGACAGTTCTATCTGATGAACCTATCATCTAACAAAGACGACTAATCTCAGCCGACCATCTGCCACATTCCCTTTTGCCTCATGACGGTCGCCACGCTGAACCCACCCATGGTTGACATAACTCCTGACCTCGTCTGCCTCGTAGGTAGGCTACCACTGTTGTCCTCGTCGCCATGGCTAGCCGCAAGGCAAGCAACAGCGACAGGCGGGAGACGGCCCTTGAGATTCATTCCTTCCATGCATGGACGGTCGTGGCTTGTCGCGGCGCGCACTAGTCTTCTCATTGGCAACCGCACAGCTACACGGGTCCCTCCCCTCAACGCCGAAGAAGGAGAAGACAGGGCCGTGGCCGAGTCCACGAGGGTGGAGAACGGCGGCACGACAACATCCGGGTCCCTCTCTCTCTCTTCTCTCTCCGCCCCCTCGCTAGCGTTGGAGCTAAGACAAAGTTAGTTGGGTCGCTAACAATTCTAAGATTGTGGCAGATTTGGAAGCAGAGAAACGCGGTAGTTTTCAACGGTGAGAGAAGGTCAGAGCAGACGACTTTCACAAGAATAAAGGATGAATGCTTTGATTGGATCTCGGCCGGGGAAGAATCCTCCGACCCGTAATGATTGCCGAGTAATTAGCTTAACTCTTTTCATCCTCACAGGGCGGTCTGCCAAGTGAGGAAGCGCCTCTCGCGCATGTAGCCTCGCAGCTTTGTACTCTTGCTTATTAATACAATGCTGGATAACCGGATCTTTCAACAAAAAAAAGGGACGTTGAATCTTCAAAGTGTTCAATTCGTACTGATTTTACATTAATCACTTAGGTTCCGGCACCCTTCAATGCTCACTTCTGTTAATGATGACAAAATTGTACCAGAAAACCACCAGCTTGAAAGATATTCACCTGGATAAGACTCGATGTGCACAGCTTCAGACATTGGTCGGAGGTTGTAGGGCTTGAAGCACTTGTACATCTCATTGTGCCCCGGAGATCTCAATGAAAACCATCTTTTAGTGCTACTAGGTCAGAAGCATTTGAACGCGATATATAACATCAATTTCACTTGAAGTCTAGCATTGAATTTCCTGGTAACTTGAGATGGATCATCACAAACAGTACTGCCGAAGCACATCACTGCAAAGCCTGTTCCATCTTTCAGAAACAGAAGCCACAGACCAAATGAAGGCTGGTGGCATCCATCTTTCAGAATACAGAAGCTACGGACCAAATGAAAACTGGTGGCATAGCACTGTTGGTCCTACGACAGAACATAGACCAGTCACCTGAACATTGATCCCCAACGAGGAACACCATATCACTAATCGCGCAGGCATGCTCAAGTTCGCAAGAACAAAAGCTGCTTCCATGGAGTTATCGGTTATGCACCGGTGGATTAGAGTTACAGCAGAGCAAGTCCAGGGTACTAATGTAGAAAAAGAGAAAGTACAAGATGCGTGATAGGCTTTGAGGCCATAAGTTTTCGAGTTTCACCGACCCAGAAGTGCAACACGGTCCTTCTGGATCACCTGAGCCAGGTTGTGATCAAACAGCTCACACCGAATCGGCATCTCCATCTCATAGAACGGATTCTTCAAAACAAAGTCCGTGTACAGCTCATAAATCACTTTCAGCAGCATTTCCATATTTGGAGCTCCAGTTTCACATACAACAAAAAAATTTGTCCCTGAAGCAATCGGAGCATATACTATATGTGAAACAGGCCAATTTGGGTGAGTTACTATTCAATGATTATAGATCACAATCTCAAGCAACCAAAAGATAACAGCATAATTTAACTCTAGAGATAAATCAATCGACCCCAAAGATATATCTCAGCTGCACAATGGTTCAAATGAAATTATCCATGACTCCAACAACAATTGTTTTGCAAATGGACTGTAACAGGTTTCAAAATCTCCATTTTCTACCATAAGCATTCAAGCCCTCACTTCCCCGAAAAATCTCACATGCTACAAAATCTTGCCATTCCTTAGTTAAAAACACTGCTACTTAGCGCCGCCATAATTCTGACTCCAGTGGCAAAGTAATAGTAGATAATGGAAGTATTCCCACACACATGTAATGGTCATAAACACATAACCATATATGATTTGGTG